ATTTACCATCATGACTCGGGTTTTGCGTGGCCTATCAACACAATTTAAAGACGGGTATATATCACATTGTTGCTTCATCTTGAAGTGGTCCTGTGATTGGCTAACCACGACTACTTTATTCTTCCTCAGTCAAACAGCAGCACTCATGCGATTGTTTTGCGCCCTGAGCTCCAGGTGTTGTGTCAAAAAGTGATCGTCTGTCAGAGAGTGATCACCGTCTGTGGGAGCGCAGCTGCTTAAAGCTGCAGCGTCCAGATTACTTACAGCTACTTCTGTGCAGCTGATATAAGATGCTGTAAGCTGAAGACAGCTTCAACCGTCTGTTTGTTGAAGAATAGTAACACGACTGCATTTTCTTGTTAACGGTAACGGCGTTGCAACGATAGGAATAGTAATTAGTTAGATTACTCTTGACTGAAAAAAGTAACACTGTTACTTGTAACGCCGTTACTCCCATCGCTGTCAGTTAGTGACATATAATCACATCGTTTTTAGGCTGTGTTAGCTCGAATGTTTAAACGTGTCCAGTTTAAAGCTTCACAGCTGTAATGGGGCAGCTGCCACCTTTAGCAATAAACAGCAGCACTGAGGACACACTCAATGATAAACTATAAACTGCAAATAAAATGTTTGTGTTCCCTAAGTCATCTTGTCCTTTTAACAAGTGTTGCATGTTACTGGTATGTTTTAGCATTCTTTAGAGATTTTTATCCCGGTTTGATAACAACGATGTCATCAGCACTCACAGTGATAATGATCTGTGAAGGAAAAGTCATGTGATCCATGGTTCGTGTTGCCCTGACACTTGAACACAGGGAACTCTGGCTTAACTAAGTTCCTTCATGTGTCTGTTTCTCCTGATCTCCTATGTTAGCGTAAGTGAATATATAAGTGAAAGATATCCTTGTTTCCTCATTCTTGTTTCCATTTACAGGTACGTCTCCTGTGTGTGGCCACTCAGTATGGTGATCTACAGAGTGTGTGTTACCTCCTCAAAGAGGCTTGCATCCCTGTGCCTCTGGAGCCATCTAACAGCAACCCGGCTGTTTTGGCAGCGCACTGCGGCCACACCGACTTGGTCAAGGAGCTACTGGACTCTGTACCCGGTAGGAGTACAACATACAGTCCAACTTTCATCATACGTGGATATATAGATTCCCTATGTATTATTTTGGTATTAATTATTCATTATAAAAGGAATGACCACCAACAGTGAAATGTTGGCCACTTGGTCCTTAACAGGACCACGGCAAGTGCTTGGACAACCTTTCAGATTTACAGTTCACAGCAAACAGTACGGTTACAGAGTTATTCCAGACCACGTAGGTCAAAGTAGCTTACATGTAAAAGAAGCCTGACCCTGCCATAGACCCGGCCCCCCAGCAAATCACAGATCACCATAAGACAATAGGGGATATTCACAGGAGGGTTGTGGATAGTAACTCAAGATTATCTTCAGCAGATAAATGGACTAATAATAGATTACCTTATGAGTAAAAAGGGACTAAACAAAAATATAACTAAATTAAAATGAAATAAAACAGATTAAACGACAGTAGAGTAGCAGACTGGACTACAATAAAATACATTCACAGAGGTTACTTAGAGTTTCCATAGAGTCAGAAATTTTCCCGTTGACCCACGAATGTTTTATCTTTTCCAGCTTGCATCTCTCATGCAGGCCTCATATGAGGGAGGGGCTTCCAAAATCACTTTTCTGGCTAAAAGTTAAAAAGGCTTTCATAAAGCACCAGGTGTCGCAAGATAGTGAGCAACTGAAGCAATTGACCCTGTGCACGAGAAAATGCTAACTTCCTGGTTTGAGACCGGATGTGGGGTTGTACATTTCCGGTAGCTTTACTTTGCGGTCA